AGACCCCCATGACTGAGGCAGAGGCACAGATAGACCCCGATGGCTGAGGCAGAGGCACAGATAGACCCCGATGGCTGACACAGAGGCGCAGATAGACCCCGATGGCTGACACAGAGGCCCGATGGCTGACACCTGTCTCTTATACACATCTAGATGTGTATAAGAGACAGGAGGTGCAGATAGACCCTGATGGCTGACGCAGAGGCACAGATAGACCCTGATGGCTGACGCAGAGGCACAGATAGACCCTGATGGCTGACGCAGAGGTGCAGATAGACCCCGATGGCTGAGGCAGAGGCGCAGATAGACCCCAATGGCTGACACAGAGGTGCAGATAGACCCCGATGGCTGAGGGTGAGGCACAGATAGACCCTGATGGCTGACGCAGAGGTGCAGATAGACCCTGATGGCTGACGCAGAGGCGCAGATAGACCCTGATGGCTGACGCAGAGGTGCAGATAGACCCCGATGGCTGACACAGAGGTGCAGATAGACCCCGATGGCTGAGGCAGAGGCGCAGATAGACCCCAATGGCTGACACAGAGGTGCAGATAGACCCCGATGGCTGAGGCAGAGGCGCAGATAGACCCCGATGGCTGACACAGAGGTGCAGATAGACCCCGATGGCTGAGGGTGAGGCACAGATAGACCCTGATGGCTGACGCAGAGGTGCAGATAGACCCCGATGGCTGACACAGAGGTGCAGATAGACCCCGATGACTGAGGCAGAGGCACAGATAGACCCCGATGGCTGACACAGAGGTGCAGATAGACCCTGATGGCTGAGGCAGAGGTGCAGATAGATCCTGATGGCCGAGGCAGAGGTGTGTTGGAAAGGTAGCCAGTGTTGGGGTTTTCAGAGGTAGGCTGAGTGAGATAATTGAGGAACATATAGTCTAGAGTTCAGGTTTTATTCCACAGAGGGTGGGAAATTATAGGGGTCATCAAAAAGGATGAAAAAAATGCCAGATCCTCTTTTTAGAAAGTTCACTTTGACAGGAAAAGAGAGAATGGATTGAAGCCTGGAGGCAGGAAGTTGATTCCTTCTTTCTTTGTACTCACCCAGCTACCCACTGTCTTTCCATCTGTCTATCTTTCTATCCACCCGGCAAACAAACACGACTGCATGCCTGCTTCTGAGAATGAGCTTGACAATCAGATAGGCCTGTGTTTGAAATCTTGCCCTGCCTCCCATCCATCTGTGTGACTTTGGGTGCATTACTTAATCTGTCAAGAATCCAAATTTATCACCTGAAAAATGGGACTAACAATACTATTCGTTGCAACTTCATGGTTGGTTGGGGGATTAAATGAAATAATATTTAATAAGTACTTGATGCTACACCAGGAGCTCATGAACACTCAATAATGTTTAGCTATTTTGATGAATATTAGCAGGTTGAAGGTACAGATTTGCAAGCCATCTTGATATTCGGGATTGGTAAAGCCAAGGGGGTGAAGACTGTCACTAGGGTGGGATTCAGCTCAGTGGAACACATGCCACTGACACAGCCCTGCTGGGCCATGTGGGGCATGCAGAGGGCTGTGCCTCCAGGAGTTTGTAGGTCCTTCATACCAGGCTATGTGCGTTCAATGCTTTGGTCAGCTCCGTGGGAGAGGTGTGGAAAAGCTTTTTGGAGCAAGTGGGATTTGAGATGGGTCTTGAAGAATGAACAGGAAAAAAACAAAACAAAACAAAACAACAACAACAGCAAACAGAATGAGCAGGACTCCAGCAGCAAGATGAGGAGGGCAAGGGCTCTTTAGGCTCAAGTAGTGAGTCGTATGGGAGTTTGGAGGCAGGAGAAAAGCATGTATATTAAGGGAATTGGGGGAAAGTGTGTAAGTGTGGAATATGCCAGCCCTTTAAGAGCATATGAGGAGAGAAAAAGCATAGAGGTGTCATTTACTTTTAGCAGAGAACTTTAGATTCCATTTTGAGGATTTTGGACTTTAATGTGGGAGCTAGTAGAGCATAGTAAGGTGTTGGGCTTGTATTTAGAAAGATTAATGACACAGCTTTGAGTGAGTAGGAAGAAGAAAAGGAGGCAGAGAAGACCACTTAACCGGCTCTTTATTGGAAGAAGTTGGGCGGAATTCCTTGAACCTGAACTGGGGCCCTGGGGAAGGAAGGGAAGGATGAGGTAGAAAGCTTTGTAGAAATAGAATTAGTGGAATTCAGTGACTCATTTTTTATGGAGTGAGATGGAAGTGAGGGCTCTGTGGCCTGAGAAACCTGATAGTGAAATTGCCATCAAGAATGGGCGGTCATGGGAGGAGATCTGGAAGGAAAGATGTCCAGCTCTGTATTCAGTGTGAGGCACTCACGAGACATCATCTGGAGGAAGCCTCCGCCTGGCAGCTGGTTGTTGGGTTAGGCTAGCGACTGTGACCAGGGCCGGAAGCAGGTAGAGGAGTCTCTGCCTGGTTGGAGTTAGAGAAACCTGGAGACGGCCAGGGAAGTGACAGACTCACCTTTAGGGAAGGATTAATTTCAGGCTGGGGGGCAAGAGTCGAGACAGGCAGAGGAGTAGAAGAGAGGTGCGTGTCATCAGGGAGAAGTTTCCAAGAACTGCACAGATGATCAGCAGCCTTAAGAGCAGAGAGACGGTGTAAGTTGTTTATTGGCTGATGTGCTGAGGGCAGCATTTTAGGTATGTAGATCTTTGCATGGTGTGTGGAGGGTGGGCTGAAGTGGGGCTGCTGGGCGGTGAGGAGTTCTCATGCTTGGATCATTTCATGTGAGATTCATGTGGTTTTGGATAGTTGGAGTCAGTTGCCTCCAGGTTAGAATGTGTTGCCTACCTCTTGCTTGAAGCCAGTTAGCAGGGATTCTGGGTTTGGGGAAGGATGAAGGCATCTCTTTTCCATTCCAGGGTCTGGAATTTGTGAAGATGTCCCTCATGTAAGGAAAATACGCAACGGCTGTGGGGCCATTGTGTCTGATAGGCATGTGTTTGATTGTCATCCCTTTTCTAGTTCTTTTGAGACAGAATCTCACTATGTTGCCCAGGCTGGTCTCAAACTCGTGGTCTCAAATGATCCTCCTGCCTGAGCCTTCCAAGTAGCTGGGATTACAGCTCATGCCACCACTCTCAACTTCTCTAGTTCTTTTTTGAGCAAACTACTATAGTTGGGGCTAGAGGGTAGAGGTCCCCATTGTTTTAGTAACATAATCCGGGAAGACAGTTTAAACCTTTGAATATGTGGCTGTGGGCTGGAGTTGGCCCTCGAGCAAGGAGGCTTACCCCAGGAAGACGTGTGTTGGCACCTGCTCTCCACGCTTCCCAGGGGGTTGTGCACTCAGGCATCTGCCTGCTACCAGCCCCATGGCCTGGCATTTCCAACCAAAGAAAAGGAATGTACCTTCCTTTCTCCAGGGTTTATGGCAGCAAACGAGTTTAGAGGGTAAGGATAAGGAATGGGTGGGGCAAAAACGGGCCTCCCCCAATAACAATTATTGTTAGTATTAGGAATGAGATTTTACATGTAAATTCTGTTTTAGGATGCAGTAGAACATTGGGCCTTGCTTTTCTCCATACATATTTGGGGCACATTTATCTTCCTTTTGTCTGGTCTCCTTTTTTTTTTTTTTTTCTCTATCAGTTTCCTTCCAAAAGTTACCCTACTGCCTGCCCCCAGCTTCCCTCCTGCCCACACTTGCTGGGTTAGGCTCTTGGAATTTGTTCCCTTCTCTCCGCTAAGGATGCCCAGGTGGAAGGTTTTGCTGAAAGGGGCATGGTTTTCATTGCAAATGGGGCCAATGGAACATCTGAGGTCACAGCTGCATCTTCATGCAAATGACAGTGTCCCCAGCCCTGCACCCCACTCCCCAAGGGAAGGCTGGGATGCAGCCTGCAGCGGGGGCCAGGGTGCTCCTGAAGCCTGACCCGGCAGAGAGATGGCTGAGTGGGTGGGCAGGACACCCCTCCGGCCCCATACTTCTTTGGCTTTCCAATCTCACATTTCCTTTCCTTCCCATTTCTGCTGGCACTTTCTCCTTAGCCTCTCCCTTTCTCCATCTCTTTCCTTTCTGCACTCTCGCAAGCAAAGCAAACATTTAACTGCATTCAGTTTCTCTCTCCCCTCTGTCTCTCATCTCTTCTTCTAGTCCATTGAAAACAGAAGTGAAATATCAAATAGTCAATATTTTATTTGCAGTTTATAAGCCTTGGTGTAAGTGGATTTGGTCCTGTGGGAAGTACAAGGTACTTATTGGGAATAAATGTTGGGATATGGGGATATGGAATGTGAGAACTTCGGCTGTGCGCATCTTTACCCCGGGCAGAGGAAGCAGGAACCCACATGGCTTCCTTACAAGCAAATAATATGGTGCGGGTGAGTTACAAATCAGAAGAGCCACACTTTGTTTCCAAAGCCCTCTGTGATCAGCGGGCATTTAGCGTCCCTCTGCCAGGCATTGGTCTTCATTTTTTAACATAGGGATTATGGTACTTGCCATTACTCCCTTGGTGGAGTGTTTTAAGCAATAACGCGTACGTGAAGGCTGTGAAAAACAGGATTGTAATTGTTATTGTCATGAACAAAAATGTCTGAACAAAATATAGAAGCTTTGCATTTGCAGCATGTATAAAATGAGCCGATTGTATTGGATGGTCTCCAGTGAGCCTTTCAAGTGTTAAATTCTATATGCCCAAGACAATTTTTGGCGTATCATAGGGGCTCAAACAATAATGGGTTGGACGGACAGATGGATGGATGCATGTCTAAATGTCAGTTGCCCATTGGCCTCCTGCGTCTGTGTCATGGCACTGACACTGTGCCCATGGCACATGGGCACTGCTGCCCTCCCGTGGCCAGCGGCAGTATTACGGTGCGGCAAGCCGCAGCCTGGGCCCCTCTCCCGGTTTCTCCCCAGCCCCTCACCTGGCTCCCTGAGCTGGCTCCTTTGGACTTGTCCTTGGCCTCGATCACTGACTGCCTGCCTTTCCTCCTCCTTCTCTTTCCACCCCGCTCCCTCTCTCCATCTGCCGCTGCAGCACTGCCAGTAACTCCAACCGCAGCACTCCGGCCTGCTCGCCCATCCTCCGGAAGCGGTCTCGCTCGCCAACCCCGCAGAACCAGGACGGAGACACCATGGTGGAGAAGGGCTCAGATCACTCCTCGGACAAGTCCCCGTCCACGCCGGAGCAGGGCGTGCAGCGCAGCTGCTCCTCCCAGTCCGGCCGGAGCGGCGGCAAAAATTCCAAGGTGAGCGGGACCCCATTGGAGGCGGTACCTCCTTGTCAGGGGCTGCAGGAGCGATATTGGGGTGGTGAGCTGGAGAACATCTGCCAGGGTCCTCACGTGATTAACAGCCCTGATGGCCCAGAGACAGTCGTTATCCAGTGAGGTGAGGCGGGACAGGCAGGAGAGACCCTAGTTCAGTATCTTCCCCGCTAAGCATTCTTGGTGGGCTGGGCGAGGTAGGGAGGCTCATATTTTTTTTTAGATTTGGAGGGGAGATGCTCTGGGAATCATTAGGGGGTCATCTGCTTATTCCTGCTACCGTTTTCAAATTTGGTCCCTGGAGCGGGGGTAGAAGGGAACATTATTTGGGACAGCTATACTGCTAGGGAGAGTCCTCAGGGAACCTTGCAGAATGCTATTTTTAACCTCCTCCCTGGCCATCATTCCTGCCTTACCTTTGCACTAATCCACTTGCTACTCACCTGGCAGAGAGGAGGGTGGCAGGGCCTTACCATCCTCCCAAGGATGTCAGCACTGCCGCCTGAGTACCGGGGCCCTTGGCCCATGGATAGGCCTAAAATAGGCCCGGGGGGTGGGGGCCCTGGGCTAGTTATGGTTCCCCAGAGATGTCCTCCACCAGCCTCGGTCCTCTGGGGAACAGGAGATGTCTTTGCCCAGGGGCTCCTTCAGGAAGCTTTTCTTCACCCTGGGACCCCCAGGGCCTGGGAAGGGGTAATTGGGGACCCCTGGGAGGCATGGGAGCTGGCTTCCCACTTGAATTTGTTTTTTGATTTCTTGTTCTTCCTCTTCTTCCCCACCATTTCCCAAATACCTTCTTTGCATGCATGGTCTTAGTCTCACAAGCGCCTCTCAAAAGTAAGCCATCTTTTGTCTCTGTCCTTTTATCTCCCCTCTAGTGTGGATCTGTCTGTAGCGCTCAGCACCCCCTCCCTTGGCCCTGCCGATTCTGGCCCTTATATCCTGCTTGGTCCCCTTCCCAGAAGGGCCGGCCCCACTGTCCCCCGGCAGGCTGGCTTGGAAGTCATTGAAGGCCCATTTTCACTGCACCTGATGTCGGAGTACAGACCCTCCCCCACTCCCCACCCTGCACCCATGTCTGCCTGCTCCCTGGACACTGCCTCTGGCTGGGAGTTTATTCCCTCCTTATATGGTGCGGTTGAGAAACAGAGTCCTGCTTGGCATTAGTTTCATTCCTTTGGGGCAGGAGACCCCATCTGGTCATATTGCAGGCCCCTCCCCTTTGGTGGTTGATTCTGGATTGCCCAGCAGTGGTGAGTGAGGATGGCAGGAGGGCTGCGCTGATTGAGGGGCTGGGGTTCAGGTCAATGAGTTCCTTGGTGCAGCAGCCACGCCCTCAGGAGCTCTGCGTGCATGCTCTGTTCCTATCCACTCGAGAGCTGCTCAGCCTGGGCACCCCTTAGCGTTTCTACCCACTGCCCAGACTGGGGCTCATGGTGTGCTTAGGATCCTGAATCATGATCAGAGTGGGGAGCTCTTCTCCCAGAGGGTGGGGTGCCAATGCCTGGAGGTTGGCAAACATTGGCAGACCCTGGAAAGATGTAGTTGGTGCCAGAGTCTTTCCCAGGAGCCCAGGAATTCTGAGGCCCTAGGAGAACATGCAGTGAGTGGAGGGTGAGCGATAGGTGTTGGGGAACAGCAAGGCCCATGGGGCAAGGGGGTGGGATGCAGCCTGAAGAAGGGGAAGTCGAGGATGACTTAATAGTCCCAAGTCTCTCAGAGCTTTGGGGAGGAGGAGAGTGAACAGCTGGTTCCCTTTCCTGAGGGAAGGACAAGGGGCAACACGGTTAATCCTGTAGTCTGTGACCTTCAGACTAAATGCGCATCTTGGCTCTGAGGATTTTAAATGGCCGTCGCCGGCAGTGGACAGGGGAGGAGGAACTTCACCTGGAGCGGGGAAGCCAGCAGGAGATTTCAATGGGCTCCAGCAGCTTGGCAGGTGCAGGCATGTCTGACGTCTGGGGATGGGGTTTTGAAATGCCCTGTGGCAGCCCCTCTTGAGTGCCTCCCACCTCTGGCTTGATGTGGGACTAGTGAGTGCTCGAGGCTCAGTTGGCAAGAGGAAGGATATGGCCTGACACGGGCATCGGGCTCCCCGCTCCCCGCTCCTGCACACGTTTCCATCCAGACTCTGTACACCCCAAGCCTGACTCTTGAGTGGCTGGGGATGTTCTGTAAGCTCCGAGGCAGGATGAATCATTTGAATGGGGTAGCCAGGACAGGCGGCAGGGACCAGGCGGAATTCTGAGTGGGATTTTGGAGAGGCTAAAAGGAGACATAATGAAGGGACTGAGAGCCAAGCAGGAATCAGGAGCCAATCTGGGCCTTTTTGTAGGAACTGAGGAGGGAGGGGCTGGGGTGAGTGCAGGTCTCCTTTCTCCTGGGAGATTGGGTGGATGCCACGCCCATCCCTGGCAGACACATTCTGAGTTTTCTGACATTGGTTCCCCACTTCCCCACCTCATTCTCCCACTGAGCATTGCCATCGACACCTGCCCTGCCATCCTTTCAATGGAGTTAAAATAGGACGGGCTCGTGCGAGGAGGGACACCGTAGTATCCCAGGTGGAGCTGGGAGCTGCTCTATTGGTCTGGGACGTGCATGTGCGGGACACACAGACTTCAGAAGAGGAACACTAGAACCAGTAGGGGAATTAGGCTCTTTGAAGGCCAGGGCCTGGAGCAGATGGTGCAGCGAAAAGAGGAGGGTCTGGTAGCGGGAGGGGGACATGCCCCTCCCCAGTGGAACATCTTCTGGGGTTAATCACATGTATTCCCAGTAAGTCATTTCATAGCTATTTTTACTGATACTGTTGTAGCTAGTCCACCTCACTCCCTGTCTCCTGGCTACCCCAGAGGACACCATGCCTTATATTTTTTGGGCAAGCTGGCCAGTGCCTCTGCTTCTCCCTAGGTCCCATGCACGGGATCTTTCTTTTCTTCTCTGGGACTCAGTTTCCTCATTTGCTACTATGTAGGCATGGCACCAGGTGATCGCTAAGGCCCGACCCCTCTGGATCCATCACTGTGCAGCCCCGGGCGAGCCCTCCTAGGTGCAGCCCTGCCCCAGCACTTCCTTCCCGATGAGTTTGTGCTGCCGCCCAGCTTCCGCCCTGTAGTGACAGCCTGTGGCCACCAGAGGGAGCGAGGGGCCGTTCTACCGCTCTCCCACCTGCCCTGAGGGCGGGCGCAGCAGGTGTGGCAAATCACGGCTGCTCCTGCCCAGCTGCACGCCTCCCGCCCTCCCGCCGCGGTGCGGGCATCACCCTCGCGCCGTGGCACTGACCCTCCTTTGACTTTCCTTTTTTTTTTCAAATCTAATTTTTGTGGTTTTCTTTCCAGTATGACAGACTTAACCTGATCAAAGTAAGAATTGTTTTTTATTTCTAACTCCTACTAAATGTAGAGCTCCCCTAGTCCCTGCCCGCCCCCCGCCACACCCCGCACCTTAATCTTCCAGACTCCCAGAGTGCGAGATGTTTCTGGAAACCACCTCCCAGTAACCTGGGTCTGTTTCCAGGGGCCTTGCATTCCGATAAGTGCTTGCTTTTCAGACCTTCTAGGGAAAATGATAGAAATGAGCGTGTCCCCAACAGCTGTGTCTTTGTCCTGACTCCCTTCCTCCTCTTTGGCCAAATCCATTTATTATAAGCTGTCAGAGAAGCCTCCATCGCTGCTCCCTGGTTCTGTGCCTTCCTTCCCTCGGACCTGGTCCTCCAGGTAGGGGCTCTACAGCAAACTAAAGCCAGACGACGAGGGGCGCCCCTCCTCACCCTCAGAGGCCTGCAGCTCCTCTGACTTCCCTGCCCCTGTGGGTCTGGGTCCTTCCTGTCTGGCAGCGCCTCTGGGACTCATTTGTGGGAATGCAGAACCACAGGCATTGAATGTGCCTCCAACAGGCTGGGCAGAGTTTGGGGACCCCTGCCCACCGTGGACAGGCTCGGGGGCTGCTTTGGACGTGGCTGGAGGGGGGACCCATTGTTCCTGTGGCCCCTCAGCGGCAGCACGTAAGAAGCCACCTGGAGATTGCTGGTTCAGGGCAGAGCCTCAGCACAGTCCTGCTCCTTGGTATCTTTCACGTTTCTTTTCAGTTCTTTAAACATTGTTCTTATCCACACTTTACAAAAGAGCAAACATTAGATACAAGGGCATCACAGAGCAGTTAGAGACAGGACTGGCTTCCCTGCCTGGGGCTGTGTGTGACCCTCATACTTTGTTCCACACAGATTTGGAAGGCACAGGCGCCGACGTGCCAGCCCATGCAAAGGGGCCATCTACTTCTGTCTACCTGGGGCAGGAGGGAGCCCCGTGCAGGAGGAGTCACAGGCATCTGGGGTCCCCCTGTCAGCCCATGTTCCTGTTGCCCCCTTTCCTGCTAGTGCCTTACACGAAGGTCACGGCATTGATACGAGGAGCTGGGAGCTTGGGAGATGGTTTCTCCGTTGTGAAGCAGATCTCATGACCTGGGTTGCAGTTGAGGAGACTGTGGGGCCGCCGGGGCGGGCCGCTCCCAGAGCGCATCTTCCCACTGCTGGGAGGTGTCTTTTGTAATGAACATCCGCACAGCCTCCTGCCCTGTGGGCTCCGAATCAGGGCTTCTGTGTGAGGACTCAGGAAGTGAGCCATCGCTAGGCGCAGACCCCAGACGCAGCCTGCTTGCCCCATCTACCTCCTCCAGAATTGGGTAGCCTTGGCTGCAATGCCTGGAGGCGAGTTTTCAAGTTGTGGACTCCTATGTGGCCGCACCTTTCTCAGGAAAAAATAGTTTTTAATGTTTGGATTTGGGCCCTTTACCTGCTGAGGCCTCTGAATTGGAGGTGGGGATGAAGCTATGATGGGAGGGTATGGCCTTTGGAAGGACCATGGTGACAGGCTTTGTTGGGAAGTGACCCTGGAGAGCACCTTGCAGAGGGGGACTTGCCATTGGCCTCTGGTCACATCCTGGCCATCGAGGGCATGTGTGAGGGCAAAGCTGCTGGGAAGCAGCCCCACCCACGCGAGGCCCCTCAGCCCCCTCCAGCTCCTCTGCGGACTGGTGTCACTGTGGGGGGTGAAGGTGGACCATCTTCACAGAGTTCTGGTGGAACGGGGGAGATAGATCACATGACCAGCGGTCATCACTGTGGGCACACACCCACCCTTGGGTACGTAGTCGCTTCCTCCCCTCTAGACACAGCAGACATTTGAGGACCATGGCTGCTCTTGTCTGCCCTTCTGGGTCAGGACGCTTTAACACCACGTGGAGGGGATCCAGACCTCTGGGTAGAGCTAAGGTATTCCACCCAGTGACCCCTAAAACTGAAAATAATCTGAGCTCTACCAAGAGAGGGAGCTTAGGCATGTGTGTGTGTGCATGCACATGTGTGTGTGTGTGTATGTGTGTGTATGTGTATATGAATGTATGTCTGTGTATATGTGTGTCTCTGTGTATATGTGTACGTCTCTGTGCGTGCCTGCGTGTATATGTGTATATGTGTGGTGTGTGTGCAAGTACACATGTATATGTGCGTGTCTGCATGTGTGTGTGGTGTGTATGTGTGTGTGTATATGTGTGTACGTGTATTTGTGCGTGTGTGTGGGGTGTATGTGTGCATGCGTGTCTGTGTGAATGTACGTGCGTGCGTGTGTGTGCATGTGTGCATGTGTGTATGGTGTGTATGTGTGCATGTGTGTGTGAATATGTGTGGTGTGTACATGTGCATGTGTGTATGTGTGTTTGTGTGTATGTGTGTGTACGTGTATTTGTGCGTGTGTGTGTGTATGCGTATGAGTATGTATGTGTATACGTGCACACGAGCTTGCCTATCTGCGTGTCCATCTATCTTTCAAGTGGGATGTACATGAAGGACTACTGGCCGAAGGGCTTGAAGACAGACAAGGCATGATCCTGTTCCCCTGAGGCACATTCAGGTCCCCTTTCTCCTGGGTCTGGGAATGGAGAACACCTAAGTTCTGGAGCTGGGGTGGGATCTATTTTGCTTGTTCAGAATTATGGCACCACTGGGTTGGAATGGACCCTTCAACCTCCTGCCCCGTGCAGAACCCCCAAGCACTCCCCGACCATCACAGTTTAGGTACAGCCCATTTTTTGGCACAGGAGGGATTTGCTCACCCGCCTGCTGAGAGTGCAGTTGGAGGGAGTTTTAGGTAGTCCCCTGTCTACCTTGAAAGTGTCCCACCCT